AGGGCTCCGTGCTCATTCTGGGCCACGCCTCTGGTGCTGGAGGAGTGGTGACCCTCTGAGGAGGAGTGGGCTGGAGTGTGAGGTGGGGAGAGGAGGAGGAAGCGTGGAGCGAGCAGCACCCTGGGATGTGGCCTGCAGTGTCCGGAGTCTGGCTGATGCCCAGGCTTCAGCAATCTTGGCCACATTATCCTGGTCCATATGCAGGCATGAATTCGGGGTGAGGGATGCTGGACTCAGCCTCCCTGCACAGGGGATGTGGCACCTCCCAGTACCCAGGGTTCTTCTGAGGGTAAATGCGGGATGGAGGGTGTTGTACACTGTAGCGCACGCTACACCCAACTCTGCACCTAGGATCCCTCAGGGGACAAGAGGCCGTCCACACCCACCCCCTCCAACTAGGGGCGTCTGCTGCTGACGCTGGTGTGACAGCCACACACGATGCACCAGACCCCAGTGTGTCGCTCCACTCTCTGAGGGTGTGACCCACACCCCCAGCGTCCTTGTGCAGCCTGGACAGCCCAGGGTCGTCTCTGCCTTGCTGGGGTCTGTTTGCATCCTCTCTGTTCCAGGAACGGGCTTTGTGATTTTATATGAGAGTGGCAATTCCATTTATTAGTCTAAAAATTACGTCTTTCAAGACTGAGGAGTTAGTGTGCCTCGGGCTCACTGTTTATACCACCGTATTCTTCACGACTCTTTAAGCTGTCTCGTCTAGCCTGAGCGACGTAGGCTTTACAGTTAGACAGCCAGGTCCTGCGTTGTTGGTGGACACACACTAGTCCTTTTCTTACTAGAAGCAGCTCCTGGGGCCTCCTCAGCTGAGAGCCGCTGCTGCTGCTGCTCGGAGTCTGATCCTTTCTTTCTGGACTCATGTCCCTGGTCCCCGTGCACCGCTCCCTTCTCAGCTCTCACTCTGCTCTGTAGGCTGGTCCCCCTCAGGCGAGCTGCTGGCTGTGCTCTGAGCGTGGAGATGGTGGGAAGGACCCTTGAGTGCAGCAGGGCCCCCTGCCCCCGAGATTGAGACCCAGGGCCCAGTTTCTGCATGGAAGTGGGCGCCGTGATGGGCTGGTGCAGGAGACACCCTGATGTGTTTCTGATACAGGAAAAATGAGGGGCAAGAGGATGGCCGCGTCTCAGGTCTCGGGTGAGTCCCTGGGGTGTGCCCCACCAAGTGTGGGTCCTTGGCTTTATGCCAGAAAGAATTCAAGAGAAAGCCACAGTAGAGTAAAAGTAGATTCATTCAGAGGGATACACACTCCACAGACAGAGTGCGGGCTGTCCCAGAAGGCCAGAGAAAGGCCACGAGGTGCCAGGTTGTTAGTTTTTATGGGCTCAGTAACTTCATATGCTAACAAGTGGCAGGATTATTCCAATTACTTTGGGGAAGAAGCTGGGATTCCCAGGACCTGAGCCATCATCCACTTTTTGATCTTTTATGATCAGCCTTTAAAAC